GGTGGGGAAGTAGCGGGGCAGCGGGCGTCCCGCCGGCTTTCGGGAGCGCGGGCAGCGGGGCGGCGCAGGGCGGGGGGGCGGTGGGTGAGCGGCGGCGGTGCGGTCCTCGGTGCGGGCGGAAGGAAGGCAGGAAGGCGGCCGGGCGGAGGGATCCGGGAGGAGGGCGGCGCGCCTCTCCCTCCGTTGGCCGCTATGGTGGTCCTGCGGAGCAGCGCTGCCCGCCCGGTCGGCCCGGCCACCCGCGACAGACGCCGCCGCCCCCGCTCCCCCTTCGAGCTAATGGACTCCAGTTCCGAGTTCATCTCCCTGGAGTCCTCCTCGCTCGGTAACGGCAGCAGCCGCCGTGTCTGGACGCGCTCCGGGGCCGCCTCGGCCGCCGCCGCCAGGGCCGCGGAATCCAGGGGGAGCCGGAGAACCGGCCAGGCCGTGAGTACCGGGCAGGAAAAAAAAGGGGGGGAAAAATGGGTATTTAGGGTAAGAGCCTACCGCCGCGGTCGGTTGCGTGGCCCCGTGTGAAGGAGCAGGCGGGATCGCCCATCCCCAAGCCCTGACGCGCGTCCCCGGTCCCCATGCAGCTCGAGGGGGGGGCTCGGCACAACCTCCGTCCCGGGGGAGCGGTGACAGCCCCCTCAGAGCCCGTCCCGGGCCCCCTGCAGCCCCGCGGACACAGACTTCCCCCGTCCCCCTGCGGTTCGGGGTGTTATCGGTATCTCTCACCGCCTCCCCCCCTCCCCCGTCTGATTTGGTTAAACGCGTTATCTAAAAAGTCCCCTGAAAAAGATCTTAGAGACCACTTTCTCTTAATTGTGGTGACGCTCCTGGAGAGAGAGCTCGCTGTTCTGGTGACAGACACGCAGCAAAACCAGCGCTCGACAGGAAACATACATGAGCAGGAGCTGGGTTCCAGCTGGCCTGGAGCACCCCGGGCAAGTGGATATAGGTCCTGCTCTGGATGCTTTAAAAACAAAGCTCTGTCGAGAAATCAGGAGTAGTTTGGACTTAAAGCACTTACGTGCGTAACCTAAACCGATGAAAATTTTACTGAAGTCTCTTATAATTTTAGGGGGAAAAAAAGGACAGTGGAAGAGAGACAACTTAGATGATTATAAAGGGTGCTAAGTAGACCATGCTGTGCAGCTCGGTGTTGCTACTTTAATAACTGAACTGTTTCACTTGGAGAAGTTCACGATTTTCAATGTAGCCTTCAAAAGCTAAAACTCTTCTCTGCCCTTTCCCAGTCAGGCTCCTCTCCACATTCCCATGACAAGTGAAGGCAGACCAGGTCCAACTCAGAAGTGGTCTGCTCTTCAGGGGAGACTTGCCTCGGAGTGATGCTTGTGGTGGACTCTCCTTCCAGCAGAACTCTTTCAGGATTTTCAGTTGCTTAAATTAATTTATTTTTTTTTTTCATTATTTTCAAGACTACTGAAGTAAGAAGGAGGAAATCCTTGGGGTGTGGGTTTGGTTGTTTTTTTTTCTTTGCAGACAGTCATGGAATCTGCTTAAAGATCATGGCTCTGCTTTTGCAGTCTACACTAGTGATGGTTGGGAATGGCAGGGAATTCAGCTGCCCGTCGCACACACGGGGAAGGCTGTGCGGAGTTGGGCAGATAAAGCCGCTGGCACACATTCTCAGTGTGGAGAACAAGAATGAGGAAGCTAAATGTAAACGTTGTGCTGAAACCAAATCAGAATCATCATTATGCAACTGGTTGTGAGGTTCTTCTGTGTTTTGGATTCTTTATTTTATGTTTTTGCAGACCTTTCCCATGCTTCGAGTCATGGAGTCATTCTTGCCTCATTTGAAGGATGGTTGGGTTCTGCTGGAGTTTTAACTGCAGAGACACAGCAGAAGTGCCCTAGATGACAGAGATGATGCTGGTGCTAGCTGCATATTCAAGTCCTAATGCCTCTTTCCTAACTTGTAGATGTCCAAGGACTTGGTGGTGGCAGCTTTTGTAGTTTTTTCTGTATTAGTAAGCAGTTTATCTCTAGTTATTCAGCTTATTTCATCCATGGAGAGTAAGGAGCATACAGCAGAAAGGCTAAGGTAAACCAGCATCTGATGGGCTTGTGGTCTTCCATATTTCCAGTCCGAAGGAGTCTCATGGCAGATACAAAGTGTCCCTTTGGAAGCTGTGTGTCTGCAGGTGTACAACCCTGGCATAATTGCCCAAGCTGAACGAGACTGTTGTCTTGTGACCAGTATTTGAGGGCAGTGGGCTCCAGAGTTCACTTTTTGTCTGGGCAAAGTGGAAAGAGGCAACTTTTCCAGGCTGAGCCTTCATGACTCATTTGTGTAGGGATCTCAGCGTCAGAGCTCATAGCCTTCTTGCTGTTAAGCACATTTATCTCTTCTGATAGTATTTCAACATAGAGTTTTTTCCTCAGATAGCTAAACACAATTTTCTAGAAAAACTTCTTAGGAACAATTGCTAATCACTTTCTATAGCATGAGCAAATAAACAAAATAGGAAATGCTTTCAAAATTTGAAATACTTTACAAGACTCTTTCAGGCAGTTGCCTTATCTTTCCAGTTTAGCCATTTGCTTCTACTGAATTTCACTTCTTGAGCGTGTTTCTTCAGCCTGTTGATAAGAGTTAGTTACTCCTGCTCTGCTGGCAGCTTGCTGGAATTGACCTCTGGTTCTTGGTGTCTGCCGTCGCGCAGAACTGGGGTGCCTTCCTACCCATGGAGGACGGTCAGGGTTAGCAATATACACTGTTACTGCTTCGCCTGTGTCCTAATTTGAGCTAAGATTAAGGTAAAAAGACAGTACAAAGGGTAACAAATATCACAAGTATGATTTTGTGAACATTGCATTAAAAATACATTTTAAAAGGCAAATAACTGCATAAGTATACTTAGAAAGATTTCCCAGGTCACTATAGTGTAGTGGTTTTTTTTTTTCTAATATCTGTGCTGACATTCTCTGAGTGTTTGTTCTTCTTCCAGTCTGGGATTTGGCCCAGAGATTTGTGAAGCATGTTATTGCTCATCTGTTAACTGATATGGCAAACCTTTAAGATTTCTCCCAAGAAATATTTACTTCTAGGTCAATGAAGTAGAAATATCCAAAGCGGCAGTTACAACTTGTGTATCTTGGAGCTTAAGCAAGCTAAGTCTTCCACAGTTGTCCCCGACTTTGGAGTCCGATGTCACAAGTGAGCATGTGTTTAGAAATAAAGCCTCTTTCTTAAAAAGCTTTGCTGTATGTTGGGAGTAGCTGAACCTGGTGGCACTATGAATAGAACAGATGGCCTGGTCCTTCTTTCCTCTCTGGCTGAGCGGGGTGAAGCCCCATTGGTGGGAAAATACACACACAGAGAGGCATGTACGTAATATGAATCCCTGTATTATTTGATTTTGGCTGCCCAGTCTGTAGCCACCCCTGGCTCTCCCGGGGGGCTGTCAGCTCCTGTGTGAGCCCCAGAGGCGCACAGCCCCGCTCCAGTGTCGTATTTACACCCCATATGTGTCTATCACACATACTATCTATATCCCTTCCATGCCTGTCCTTAGACACTCAGATCAGTAACTGGCCTCAGGTGGGGCCTC